ACATAAAACTTCATCTGCATCTAACCGTACCTAATTATTTCTTCACAGCCTGAAACTACGCTCTCTTCGAGTGAATGTTGGACAACTTCTGGCTACAATCATGCCTGATCTAGACTTGCAGCAAGTAAATTATGATATTGATGTAGTAGACGAAATTTTAGGACAAGTTGTAGAACAAATGCATGAAATCAGTAGTACTTAATATCTTAACATTTTAGCAGACTCTTACTTGATCTTCCATTATAACCTTTGTGTAGGTTCAAAATTGTATATACTGCTTCTTCACTTTATATGTTTGACATAGTTTGATCAATAAGTGTATATACTCTACGCGTTTAAATGTTCCCACAGATGCAGTGGGAGTTATCTTTGCTTCCTCTTAAAGGAACTCTGTCGATATTGACCAACCCTGATGTACTTAATTAAGGATTTTGCTTTTAAAATGTATTTGTAATTAAATTTGCAAATATTTTTATGGTTAGCGATCTTAATACTTTTCTACAAAAGCTTATTTGTTGACTTTTGATCTTATATAAGCATTAATACTTGTAATCATTTCCTCTTCTGAAATCTAAGTAATGGAATATATTAAAAATGCAAAAAAGAGCCTTCCTTGATTTCCTTCTCAGAACAAACCTTGGTAGTGTTGTTGTATACTACACTATTGTTTCATTGCTTGCAATTATTTTCTCTTCTAAAATCTAAGTAGTGTAATATATTAAAAATGCAAAAAAGAGCCTTCCTTGATTTCCTTCTCAGAACAAACCTTGGTAGTGTTGTTGTATACTACACTATTGTTTCATTGCTTGCAATTATTTTCTCTTCTAAAATCTAAGTAGTGTAATATATTAAAAATGCAAAAAAGCCTTCCTTGATTTCCTTCTCAGAACAAACCTTAGTAGATTTGTTAGTATACTACACTATTGTTTCATTGCTATCAGCAATGTTGTATGTTGCATTACTGGGATAGAAATGTAAGATAGAAATTTAACTAGTAGATGAAAATTCTGGCCATATGGGTAATACTTGTGTTTTACTACCAAAATAAGAAAAAATCTTTAAGCGTTTTATCCTGAAAACTGATGATCTTTGACTCCCTTTTGGATTTTTTGATGTCACTAAAGAACATTATCTGTACATAGTTTTGCAGCGTAAACAGCTCCATGGGCTAGGACATTTCAGCCTTTTCAGTGATGGAAACCACATGCCTGTTCGTGTCCTTCTCTTGCTACTTGCTTGTTCTTTCCTCCATCTGAGAACCTGTCTGTATTTGAGCGCAGTCAGAGGGATCTTCAGTTCTACCCTCTAGTTCCCATTTGAACACAGCAGTGCTGGTTCACAAGTGCTAGGTGTGTACCAGTGCACGGCTTCAATGGATAGATTTCACACACAACTCTTGCCTACTTTTTTTCCAAGTCAAAGGCAGCTGGTGGAATGGGAAGCATCCTGGTGGACCAGTGGAGAGAAGTTGGGGTGGCATATCCAAAGCTAGGGTAAGATTCCCGACCGACCTCTACTCTGCATCGCATGCCGCTTCTTGAGACCTGAAGGCCTTTTTTTAGAGAAGTCCAGTGCTGAACAGGATTGGCGTAGAGGTTCTGTCATGTGTACAAATGCTTACATGTATTATCTCAAAAAACCAAATTGTTGCGGTATTAAACATATAGTCTGCCTTGGAGTCTTTCAGGCTGAGATGTGAGGGTGCTGAAATTCGCCCCTGAAATTTACCTTCCTGTCAGAATGTACCATGCGAAGTACAAATGGCTCAGACTACTAAATCCTGGATTAACCAGTTGAATGGAAGTACTGTGAAAAGGAGGCATGTTTCCTTACCTGTGGTGTTAACAACTACAGAGTGAGCTAAAGCTGAAAATGTTCAACTATGACTTGTTTATGCTATCTTAAAGTTAAGACATCTTTTATTATAGGCAAGATAGGGGAGTCCCTCTTCCCCCCCTCCCCCCCCCCTTTTTTTTTAAATGTTTTACAGTGACTCTTAAGCCACTAGTTCTATGCTCTAATGCTCATGCAAAAACTTCCTGGAAGAAATGGTACCAAGAGAAATCGCTGTTACAATGGTGACAGTATTCTCAGCCAATTGCATGTTTTTCTTTTGAAGTCATCAGGAATGAGAAGAAAGGTGGCAAAGACAGCAAATCCACCTTTTACTCTGTGGTGGTATTTCTTATCCAAACAGTGACCAGGAAAAATAGTTCTTGCTTTTAAAAAATGGAAAAAAAAAATTTAAATCATGAAATAGCACGCAATATGTTCATTCCTAGGAAGTGTCTTTTTATAAAGCCAACATTTTTGGCTTTTGCACTGCTACTGCCCTGATTTAATCAGATTATGTTCCTTTCAGTTGTAGTTCAGTCGGTTTCTTTCGATGGACAGTATTTCAATTTTAAGATGCTACCTGTTCTAATATGCCAATAAGGGTAATGCAATACTGTTGTACTTTATAATGGATAAACTGAATGTTCAATTTTTGAAGAGGTGGCTGTAATATAACTATTTGTATGACTTTTAAAAAGTTTATATTTTCCATTTATCGGTGTGTAGTTTTCCATTTCTTAATCATTATTTATTATGTTTCATCAGACTCGGTAGTTGAATTTCTTATAGACAACTGGCAAAATATAGCATATGTCTATATTAAAAATGGCAAATTTACACTGTACATTTACACAGTGGACTAATGGAAATGGTTTTTATTTACTTGTTAAAATGTATTTTTTTGTAAAAAATAAAAAGTACTATATAAATCTGAGTTTGCAGGATCAAAACTTGTATGTGATCAAATGCAATGTTTTTGTTTATAAATAAATACTATGCAGAATGGCTAATGTTTCTGGCTTATGTTAAGTATTAAGTGTTATGAGAAAGCTGGCTCAGTCTGGTTTTGAGCAGACGACTTGGGCACACCAAGCATGCCCTCGGACCAGGCAGGCACCTTAACTGAGCCCCAGACCAGCTGGCTGGCTGTGCTTCTTCAGATGGTCAGTTTTGTACGGGGAATTCTGTTGCCCAATTACAAGACTGTAGAATTTGGGACAAAACTGTTTTTCAAGGCCTTGTTAGGGAGTTGTCGTCTTTGTGGTACTGGGGCAGAAGTGACAGGAATGCGAAGGTAAGAGTAGGGAGGTGGGACCACCTGCCTCTTCAGGTGACAGTAAGCTCTTGGATCAGCTCAGCTCTCCTTGTGAAATTTTACCCTTAGGCTGGCTGATCAGTTCCCCACCATGAGAGGCTCACGTTCTTTCAGATGTTTTTGTGGCTGAGGCAGACCAGTACCGGGTCGCCCGATACAGACAACGAATACGGAGACCACAGTGTGCAAGGTATCGTGGAAGGGGTTGCACCGGTATGGAAATGTTCTGGCTATGGAAAAAGCAGTGCTGTTATAATCCAGGGTATGTGATAACTGATTTTAGAGGAAGTTCCTGGGTTTAACAGGTGGGTGTACTTCCATGCTTTCTGCTGTGCGAGTGAAATTTCAAGTCAAGCAGAAGGACTTGCGCTGTCCTGGCTTTCTAAGCCTGGTCATTCTTGCATGGAAATCCTCGTTGCCCTCTAGTTAGAAGTCCTCTTTCTTTTTAAGAAATAAAAAAATCTGATCTGTATACAATAAATCTTCATTTGTTCTCTTGTGCTTTCTCCCCTGCTGTGTTAGGCAGTGTAATGACTGGTGAGGTCTTCCGAGTACAGGTTTTGGCTTCAACCGCACGGCCAGTGGTTCTTTTCGCTGTCGGTAGCAGGAAGAAGGTGAGAAGCAGCATAGCCATAGGCGGTGTGGGAAGAAGGAAAAGGAGATGCCACTTTCAAAGGATGTAATTTTTTTATTATTATTTTGAATGGAAAGGTCTGTGTTTGAAAGGAAGGGGAAATTTGGGGGTCGGTTTGCCCTTTGACCAGTCTAAATGTCAAAACATCTCAAATACAGCAATGCCTTTTTTTTTTTCTTTTCTTTTGGCGAGTGGGAGAGCTTTGGGCTTTTTTAGGTTTGGTTTGGTTTGTTGTTTTTGTGTGTGTGTGTTTTTTTAAAGGGAAGCAAGCTGGGCTGGGGCCGCGCTGCCTGCGGCGGCTCCCGGGGAGCCCCTCC